TCAAGGCAGATCCTTCCAGAGTTATGGACTACATTAACAGACTGGATAATTTTGATGGACCTGCAGTCGGTGAAGTGGCTGTGGAGGCACAGCTGTATGAAGAGGCATTTGCAATTTTCAAGAAGTTCAACTTGAATGTGCAAGCTGTCAACGTCTTGTTGGATAACATTCGAAGTATTGAAAGAGCTGTAGAGTTTGCATTCCGGGTCGAAGAAGATGCAGTTTGGAGCCAGGTTGCAAAGGCTCAACTAAGGGAAGGATTGGTGAGCGATGCTATTGAGTCTTTTATCCGTGCAGATGATGCCACTCAATTTCTGGAAGTCATTCGTGCCGCTGAGGATGCAAATGTGTATCATGACCTAGTTAGGTACCTTTTGATGGTTAGGGAGAAGTCTAAAGAACCCAAGGTGGACAGTGAGCTCATATATGCCTATGCTAAAATTGATCGGTTGACTGAGATTGAAGAATTTATTCTCATGCCAAATGTGGCTAATCTTCAAAATGTTGGCGATCGGTTGTATGATGAAGCCTTATATGAGGCTGCTAAAATTATATTTGGCTTCATATCTAACTGGGCCAAGTTGGCTGTCACTCTTGTAAAACTGAAACAGTTCCAAGGTGCTGTTGATGCAGCACGAAAAGCAAACAGTGCAAAGACATGGAAGGAAGTGTGCTTTTCTTGTGTTGATGCTGAAGAATTCCGCTTGGCACAAATATGTGGTCTTAACATTATTATCCAGGTGAGCATTACAATCAAATTCAACCTGCTTAATTTTTGCTATCTCTCATCTCCTCATTTTATTTTACTTTTACCTCTTAGGATGTGCCTGTGTACAAAGATGTAAAAACCAATATCTATTTTGAATTCCTTGGGATGCTGTTTTTTATATGCTTATGTTTCCCCCTTACTGTATTGTGATGTGACTTGGTAATTGATTAACCATCCTGTGGTGCCTCAATGAATAGGTGGATGATCTGGAGGAGGTCAGTGAATATTATCAGAATAGAGGATGTTTCAATGAATTAATCTCTCTAATGGAGAGTGGACTGGGGCTTGAGCGTGCTCATATGGGTATCTTCACTGAGTTGGGAGTTTTGTATGCTAGATACCGCCACGAGAAGCTTATGGAGCATATCAAACTTTTCTCAACTCGGCTGAATATTCCCAAGCTTATACGAGCTTGTGATGAACAGCAGCATTGGAAGGAACTTACCTATTTGTATATCCAGTATGATGAATTTGATAATGCTGCAACTACCATCATGAATCATTCTCCCGAAGCATGGGATCACATGCAGTTTAAAGATGTTGCTGTCAAAGTTGCTAATGTGGAATTGTATTACAAGGCTGTGCATTTCTACTTGCAAGAGCATCCTGATCTTATTAACGATCTTCTTAATGTGCTTGCACTTCGTGTAGACCACACACGAGTTGTTGATATTATGAGGAAGGTTATACTTCGGAGCCCTTTTTTTTTTTTCTTACACTGATTCCTTACTTTGGTAGTCGTCTTGGCTCTTGATGCTGAGTGCATTCCTTTCTCTTGGATATTAGGCTGGTCACTTGTTGCTTGTGAAGCCATACATGATTGCAGTTCAGAGCAACAATGTGTCTGCTGTGAATGAGGCCTTGAATGGAATATATGTTGAGGAGGAAGACTATGATAGATTGCGCGAATCAACTGATTTGCACGATAATTTTGATCAAATAGGTCTTGCACAGAAGGTGAGTGATGTTTTCCAGTTGGATGAGTTATAAATCTTGTTGCAAAAATTTAATGATGTGCTTTTGTGCAGATCGAGAAGCATGAGTTACTTGAAATGAGACGTGTTGCAGCCTACATATACAAAAAAGCCGGAAGATGGAAGCAATCCATTGCCTTGTCAAAGAAAGACAATCTCTACAAGGATGCAATGGAGACAGCATCCCAATCTGGTGACCGTGAACTTGCCGAGGAGTTGCTTGTTTACTTCATCGAACAAGTATGTTTGATATTTTTTGTTGTTTTCTTATAAAAAAAAAATATTTTTTGTTGTTTAAACAAGCATGCTCAGCATTTTGACGCAAAATTTTGAAATATTGAATGTTAAATTGCTAAGAGTGATGGAGCCACAAGGTTAAAGTAATTGCAGATCCAATAATTGAAAACTGTGTCAGCGTTCTAATGTTCTCGCTGGATGTGAAACAAAGCTCTTTATTATTTTATTTTATTTATTTATTTTTTTGGACTTACCTGGATCTAAAATTTTCATTACAAGATCCACAATTTGAATAACAGAAGATCCAATTTTTACAATTGGGTCAAATAGATTAAATTCTTGTATCTGGGATGCGGGTAAAAGCACTTCCTTTATTTCTTGTGTGAACATGGGTTGCTTGGTGCTTTTGGTTGAGGTGGCCTTGATCTCATATATAATTTCTTGCTTTTTAGCTCTGCTATGTATGTAGCATTTTCTATACTCAGAAAGTCGGCAAATGAAATTAGTTTTAATCTTTTTATAAATGGTTTCTGTGCAGGGAAAGAAGGAATGCTTTGCTTCATGCCTCTTTGTTTGTTATGACTTGATTCGGGCAGATGTTGCTCTTGAACTTGCCTGGGTCAACAACATGATCGACTTTGCTTTCCCATACCTGTTGCAGGTGACTTCTCTTAATTCATACCACTTTTTATTATCCAGGTTTATTAGTAGGACTTTAAATCTGAAGATTCTTTGGTTTCCACCAATGTTTTCTGGGAACTTTGGAACTTGGAAATTGATCTTCCAAGTTAAGCCGTTAGCTGTCTTCCTCCTAGCATATCTGGGGTGTTTGGCTCACAGTTCTTGTTTGTGTAACCTAGGGTTAAAGAGTCAAGTCTATGTTTGGATAGGAAGTTTTCATATTCTGGCCTATGAGCTTACAAATCTCACATTCTAAACTTATAGTATACCAAGTTAGAAAACTATACTTGGGAAATTTACCTGTTATTATACCTCATATTATAACTTTCATCAATGAAATTGTTTTTTTTATTAAAAAAAAAAAAACTCATTAACTTTAATTGATCATAAACCCGTAAATCAAATACAAATACAGACAACACCAAACCCTAGTTTCTAACTCATTCTATTGCACAACATAAATGACACAAACCTAGACTTCCAACACCAAGCTTAAAAAAATTGAGGCTTATTTAGAACCTTGACCTAACATACCTTCGGAAACTATCCACAAATGCTTGTTGCTCAGCTAAGTTAAGTTAGATCTTACAGATTTCTTGTGGCCTTTGTCATGGGTTAGTCTTCATTGTTAAAAAAAATATGATTATCTACATAACATAGTAGTATGTGACCTGCTGAAATTTTTTCTTTATATTGCAGTTTATCAGAGAATATACCGGAAAGGTTGATGAACTTGTGAAGGACAAGATTGAGGCTCAGAAAGAAGTCAAGGCCAAAGAGAAGGAAGAGAAGGACGTTATTGCTCAGCAGGTAAATCCCTCAGTTTTTGTGTCAGGCTCTTATCAATTTGTTGCCCCTTTGCATCATCCCAGCTGTTCAATGTTTCTTTCTGTATTCTGATTGTGAGCTTCAACCGCAGAACATGTATGCTCAGTTGCTGCCTCTTGCTTTGCCTGCACCGCCAATGCCTGGTATGGGAGGGGGACCAGGAATGCCAGGCTTTGCGCCTCCACCACCACCAATGGGTGGATTGGGAATGCCACCAATGCCACCTTTCGGCATGCCACCGATGGGTAGCAGCTATTAAAAAAATAGAAAACCCTAGTAAAAAAATGCGGGAATCGACCATAGATTCTAGGGAGAGTTGAACCCTGCAACAAATGGGGGGCTTTTCTTACTTTAATTTTATGCTTCTCCCCCACTTCTTCTACGGGTGAATAATTCTCGAATTTTTGTCGTTCTGTTCCTGTGTTATAGTGTTGTGGACTTGTCTTGTAATATTCTTTTCTTAGTGCAGGCATTTTTTTGGATGCTGGGCAGCAACCTGAGGGTTCTGTATTTTAAGATTTTTTTTTTTTTTTTCTCCTCCATTGTAGCCTGGCCTTTCATTAGGAAATGCTGCTTTAAATGATGATAAAAACCAAATCCATAGATTTTCGTTTTTCCTAAAGTTCCTTCCCCGGCCCCTCTATTGCTGATGGATATACTTTAGTTCTTGTTTGGTTACCGTGTTTCATCGGTCTTCTTTGAGTGATGCTTTTCCTTTCGTACCACTTCTGCTGTGAATGATTCTTTCAATCAACTTTGAGGGTTGAAAATTATGAGTTTATTATAACTTTAGGGTCTTCCGAGCTGTATCGGTTTTAAGATTCTGCTTTATGATTGAATCTATGGAGGTAATGTAATTTGAGTTTTGCAACTACCATCTTCTTTTGGATGTCTCCGAATTCAGTTGTAGTTAACATCATGATGCCTTAGCACTACTGTATGGACGTTTTCTTGGAAATTTTAGTTTAGCCAGTGTTCTCGCCTTTAAATAGATGCACATGCGGGTAGTTGCAAGTAGACCAGGGTCCACTAACTTCCAAGTTTTTAACCCGATTGTGTACGTCTAGGAACAAACAGTGAATTGTTCTGAATTGATAGAACTTTTTGATAATCTAAACTTATGAGAGAGAGAGAGAGAGAGAGAGAGAGTCGTATGGTTCACATAAGTTGTAGATAGTTGCGGCTGCGAAGGAGATGTCAATTATATGGTGGACAGGAACACGTTGATGGAGTTATATTATTATTATTATGATTTGGCACATTTTTCTCGTATGTCTGTTGCCGACGAAATTATTCGTCTCAACCCAATCCCCATCCACACACCACACTCTCTTCTCATCTACCTGAAGCAACCCCCCACACTCGTCTTCTCTTCAAATTAGTGCAAAAAGACGGGAAATTATGGCCCCCACATGATTTTGAGATGGGACTTTTGCAATTTCAAGTAGTTGATCAGAAGTCGTATCAATCTTTAATACATTCAATTACATGGTTTGTGCAAAACGGGGCCCTACATTATGGCCCCCCTTTTTGCATTGCAGTTCAAGCTTTGTTGTTGTTTCCTTCTTCTGTCAAGAAAGACCACCGATTTCTTTCTGAACAAGCCGCTAAGGTAAGGCTCTCTCTCTCTCTCTCTCTCTCTCTCTCTCCTTGGGAGTCCTACTCAGGCGAAGATGCTTTAGTTGGTAAAGTTGTTTGAGGGTTTCTTTTTTCCCTCTTTCTAATCTTTTACACGACTGTAACTGTTAACAGGCACATCCACAAAGCTACATGAAATGTTGCCTACAAAAAGATGCATAAGTTACTTGGAAACATGGAGGACCTGTTGGTATGGAGTGTAAAGTGCTGGGCTCCATTTTCAGCCTCCATAATGGAAATATTCAGTATTATATCCTGAAACTCTCAGTCTTGGTTGTTTTTCTATTTTTATGTCTCGAGATATTCTTTTCATAATAAATCTGTATGACCTTATCTTGGAAGGGGAAGAGAAAAAAAGATCCTATGTTTAAAGACACAGTACCGTGAATTTTAGAGTAGTAAAGTGATAGTGTATAGATAGGATTGTAAGGGAAAGGAGATTTTTTGACGCAAACCCATAAAAGAACTTGCCATAAGTCCAAATGGGTCGGAGTTGATTCTGTATGGAGATGGAAATTTTCTGTGATAGTTCATCCCAAAATCAAAGATCCTTTGGATCTGCCTCTGTTTCCAGGGCAATATGGGATTGGGATCTCTCGTTAGATACAACAATTAGTCGAGTTCCCTGGTGTGCTCTGTTTATGGCTATGTTTCATTTTTTTTCTTTGCTGAAAACAATGATTTAAATTTGGTAGGTAATGGTTTTACATAAGGACAATCTTTAATTGATCAGATCGTGGAGGCTTAGCTTTATCAAAGGGAAAAACGGAAGCTTCAAACTGAAACGACAGCCATACACAGCCAAAAATGATTTTCGGTTTGACGAATTAAAGGCTATTGGACATCACACCAATCACCATCAAGATATAAAGATCACACACACTATTATTATTGTTGTTGTTATTAGTGCAATCAACAGTAGCTCTCCAGATGCAACCATAAAAACTAAACTTTGAGACGGATTTAAGAAGACTGGCCCTGCCTCCCCTTCTGCATCAGTTATGGAGGATAACTGGGATAAGCCTGAGGGGCTAGATTCAAGCCCTGAACCTTCTCTGCGTCTTCCATGGATGATTAATCCTCAGCTTTCAAGCTCAACAGAGCTTCGGATTGATGGGTTCCCTTCGTTTTTGACTCCAGTAGAAGGAATTATTGGTGAAGACAAAGCAGCTTCTGCTTCCAAGAGCCATAGCCAAGCGGAAAAGAGGCGTAGGGACAGGATCAATGCTCAGCTTGCAACCCTTCGGAAACTCATTCCCAAATCTGATAAGGTACTCTTCTCTCTCTCTCTCTCTCTACCTTTCTCTTTCTAACTGGGATGACCAGAAACACTGAACATAGCAAAAAGCATCTACTTTTCCATTCTCCTAGTTGATAACAGATCCCATGCTCAGAGACTCATCTTCTTTGTTTGTTTGTATGGCAGATGGATAAGGCAGCTCTGTTGGGAAGCGCGATCGATCAAGTGAAAGATCTGAAGCGAAAAGCAATGGAAGCCAGCAAGAACATGACAGTTCCAACGGACATGGATGAAGTAACTATCGACTCCACCATGGTTGAAGACCACAGCAGGAACAATATTGAGATAAAGGTATCAGTGAGCTGCGACGATCGACCAGAACTGTTCACAGAGCTCATCCAAGTGATCAAAGGGCTGAGGCTCACCACAATAAGGGCTGATATGGCTAGTGTTGGTGGCCGCATTAAAAGCATACTTGTCCTTGGCAATAAAGATGGTGAAAAAAGTGTCTGCTTAAACACTGTTCAGCAGTCTCTTAAATTGGTTTTAAGTCGATTGTCATCGTCGTCGAGTGCTTCGACCTATCGTATTAGAAGTAAACGTCAGAGGTTCTTCCTCCCTTCTCATTATTCCCAGTAGTCTTTCTTCTTCTTCAATAATTTAGTTGGGAACACCCCACACCGGCTCTATTGAGTGACAGTGATGCTACAATAATACAATCACAATGGATTGAACAAAAGATTAAGAGATTAAAAACCAGAGCCTCACGAAGAAAGATTATGGAGAATTGAAGCTGTGGAAGCAAAGCAACAACCGTCTCTCACGTGAAAAGAGGGAGCTTTGCAGTTGACACGCCGCCGATATAGCACATTCTCAGTCTCATAGAGTTCATTATTTCTTGTAGCAATGCAGATAGCTATTTCTTGAGGACATATCAGTAAACAAATCCAAAACTCTACTTTGATCGAAGATGAGATGTGTACGTAGATGATCGACAAGGAAAACGTTACATTTGGATTGAACATCACTATAAAATTTAAAATTGAAATGAACTTCATGTCTTTATCATCATCTGATAAAAAAATGGTAGAAAAGAGATTAGCATACCACGCTTTGTTTCACTTGTTATGTTTACAAACGTATAAGAAATGAATTTTCCTTCATTCCCAAAACTGAATCTAACCAAATAGAAAACAGAGAAGTAATCGGCTATCCCGAGTTGGAGAAACATGCATAGATGAATAAATAATGGCATCCATCCAGACGCAATATAAGCAACAAACCCATCATCTTCATTTGCCAGTGCTAAAACAAGGCTCTAATCTGAATGACCAGAGGGATGGTTGAGAGAGTTTAATATCAACCTATGATTACAAGGCATTAATGAAAACATTGTTATTCATCCTAGCCATACTAGCTTGATCCTGTCCAACCTTGTATTCCTTTCTAATACGAACACTCTGTTACAAAACATTGTCCTCGGCATTTCCACTTCTAAGATTAATTACACTTCAACAAATATCAACACAGGCAACTAAAACCCAATTAATCAGTTTATGTAAAGCAGAAGATTTAGAAAGTTCAAAACATCAGAATATGACTAAAGATAAAATAATGGAGGGGAGTATGAGTGCATGAACTCATTTGAAACTAATCGTTTGATTAGAACACTATCTTCGGGACAATACAAGAAGCTATTTTGACATCGATCAGCATATTCTAAGGGTAACACAAAGCAGGAAGGATCGACTCCAATCTTAAACGCGATCAATTAAGGCGTTTACATGCTTGCAGCGATGGAATGCCAGAACAGGTCACTGCTAATACGTTCATGTTGACAAGCAATTTAGGTTGCGGTTTCATGATTGGATCACGAAGAAAAACTTTAGAAATGAATGGGTTAAACAAACATATCATCAACCGACGTTTAAAAAACTCCAGACAGTGAATTCAATAATGTAGATCTCAGAGTGAATAAGTCGAACAAAATTGCACATTGAAACTAAAAAAAACTCGATAAAAATCCAACAGAAACACAAGAATTCAACTATTACTCGTCCTAGATCAGTAACGACTAAAAGAACGATTCTCTTTTTATTTAAAACAGACACGAACTACTTGGATCTTTGCCTCATCTTTCGGCGCTTCCTCTTCAATCTCCTCATTCTCTTCTTCTTCCACTGATAATCGAAAGAAAAAACAAAACAACAAGAAATATTTATCATGGAACGAAGCAATACGAATAAAAAAAACAAAAATCTTCATTCCAATACTTCGAAACTTACCTTAGCCCTCATGTTGAAGAGCTGCTAACCGATCGGCCAAAAAACAACACTGGTCCTGCAAACGGGGCGAGTGACAGGATCGACTACGTTCTGGATGCTACGGCTTCGGATTTATATACACATGAACAAAACCCTAATCTAAAGTTGAATTTTGATGGGCCACTTCGGGCCGTTTTTGGGCCTTGTGACTCATCGAAGTGGCCCAATGCTACACAAGACATGCCTAGAAACCGAGTTTTGTAATTTAAATTATTTTTAAAAAACTAAAATATATGTATTTTTGTTATTTTAATTTAGTATTATGTTTTAAATTGGTTGACACTAAATTTTTATGTCGAGAAAAAAATCTAAGAAAACAATACTTAATAATTAGAAGAGGAAGAGGATTGGGGAAGGTGATAGATGACACAATATCTACTAAAAAGTGTGAATAGATACGAAAATAAAAAGGAATACAGATTTAAAAATGAAAAATAGAATTGAGATCGAAGGTTCAATCTTCGTTATATCCCCGACCTTTATTAAATAGATACAACATACTAAATAATACCTACAGAGAAGATATAAACTATCTAAATGTTAAGAATAAAATGCATGGGCGGCGGCGTCCATCAGTGGGGTGGAGGAAGTACGGAGGCTCTTGCGGGTGCGCTTACGGGGCTCACGAATCGCGGTAACGAAAGTGCTTATCTTGTATGGTTGTCGATCCTAGTTAATGTGCTTATCTTAATTCTTTGTTTTCCTTTCAAATCAATCTTGTCCGGTTCAATGAATGAGAACTGAGAAGATAAGATCTGGGCTTGGAGGGCCCAACGGGATTTCGGGCCCAGTCTCATTTTTCTTGGCCCAATCATAATAGTTTCAGACCACGACCACAAGTCCCAATCTTACTATTTCAAAGCTCCTCTTTCATTGAACCTGCAACCAGCAATCCCATCCCATCCCTTCATGAATGTTTCTCACTCCTTTTTATGAGAATTATAACCATATCATGAACTGGTTACTCTACTTATATGCTCGTACAATCGAATATCAAAACAAGAAATTCTCAACTACAATCAAGTTGGGATTCTTTATACAGAAACAAAAAAATGAAAATCTTCATCAAACCCTGATGATAGAGACAGGGAGACAGAGAGACAGAGCTCAAAGTATCAAGCTTTAGATGGATAAGGAAAGTGGGTGAAGTCACATAAATATCCATATTGGGTGATTGCGGAAGAGCTCTGCCCTGCAGCGATGCTCAATCCACCATAAGGCATATTAACAACACAATTTTCCAAAACACCCATAGAAGAAGAAGAAGAAGAAGAAGAAGAAAAGGTGCTATAATTATGATCAGAATCAGCATAACGAGCAAGACGAGCTTTGGCAATGGCAAGATCATGTTGAAGCTCCACCATTTTAGTCTGCAACAGAGCTATGGCACCGATGCAGCCATAAACAGGGTCCCTCAGCCTGGCCTCAGCCTCATAAGCCAAGGAGTTCACAGTGTCCTCTCTCTGCTCCTCGGGCACCTCAGTCAGAATCTTGCTCACATTACTGGCCCCAAAAACCTTATGAACTTTGGCAAACTTCTTAGGCTCATCAGACCGAAAATAAGGCGCAAATATACATGTGGGAGTGCATCTTCTCTTGAGCAATTTGCAGGCTGCACAAGAAGAAGAAGAGCGAGTCTCATGGCAACCTCTCATGGCTGCTCCTTCTTCATCATGTCAATAAAAAAGAATATCATATTCATATTCTTTGCAACAGAGGATGTGTATTTATATACATATAAAGGATTGGTTGGGGAGTAAGTGAAAGATGAGGCGATAGAGGGGGTGGGGCCTAAATTGGTTGTGGGGTTTGAAGAGTAAATGCAGGATTGAAAGCTTGAAAGAGAGTATTCAAGGAAAAAGAAGAAACACTTTAAATAGTTTTATGAGAAGTGGGAATTAAAGAACATGGGGGGGTGCCATTATTTGTGCTCCTAACTTAGGATGAGACATCATATTTTTGGTCGGTGTAGCTGCCAAAAGACTGGTACAATACAGGAACAGGGGTGCTTGCTCGAGTGAAAGGAAGTGCTGAAGGGATACAAACAGTCCCATCAAACAAAGTGTTGGACAAGGACGATAATGGAATTCCCAGAACCCACTTGTTAAAGAATGGTCGTCGTTTTCCCCAAAGCAGAGTTTCAAAAAACAGAGAGAAATGGCTTGTTTGGGCAATGGAAAAACAGAGCATGGTTGGGGGATGTTGAATTTGCGGTCTCTGTTTGGTGTGGTTTACTGTAACTCTTCTTTATGCTGCTTTCCTCCTCTTCCACTAATTTGCGTAGGCCCCTTACTTTGGACTGCATTTGTACGACTCAACATTTCTGTAGGACCCATATAATGAAGAGACAAGTGAAGTTGGGCTTTATCATTGGGCTTTTCTCTTGAAGCCCACTTTCGAAAAGTCAACCCCCCTGCATATAGTTTGACAAAGTTAGTGTGGTGCAAGTAATGCTTGGTTTTGAAGATATAAAATTGGTTGGGTATCTGACTATTTTGAGGAGGCAGGAAATTGATCCAAGTGGCAGCTACCCAGAAGTTCTCCTATTGTCCATACAGTCAGCCAAACAAACAGAGACAGCCAAAACACAAAACTCTTCCAATGAATTTAATAATTTTCAGGTTTGAAGGAGTTTTGAAGCTTTCCTCCTAGGAATCTATGTCTGACATAATGTAATCTTGATAAACTCTATGAATAGAGAGTCTATTCATGGAGTGAGACCGGCCATGGATGTTGCTCTTTCCCCAATGATGGCAGCTTCTTCAAGCCTTTTGCCTTCTGGGTCTCTGCTGCAATCATTAATTCTTCTATCCAATGAAGTTGCCTTTGAGGAGAACTCTCCTTTTGTGCAGGCTAGGACTATCTCAACCATGAGAAGAAGAATCAAGCTCCTTGCTTTCTTATTTGAAGAGGTTCAAGAATCAAATTGTGCTCTTCCTCTATCTTCCATTCTTTGTCTCACTGAACTCTTTTCTGTAATCCGAAGAGTTAAGATTCTGATTCAAAGCTGCGAGGAAGGAAGCTGTCTATGGAGCTTACTACAGACTGAGACCATTTCCAATCAGTTTTATCAGCTAGTGAAGGAGATTGGGAGGGTGCTTGATATTTTACCTCTCAGCTTGCTTAAATTAACAGATGATACGAGAGAACAAGTGGAGCTTCTTCACAGGCAAGCTAAGCGATTGGAGTTTTCAGCCAATGCTCGAGAGATTCAAAGAAGAACTGAGCTTCTTCAACTAATGAGCAAAAACAAGGAGAGGAACTACAAGAACAAAGGTTTGGCAGAAGTGGGAAAAGTTGAAGAAATTTTCAGTAGTGTTGGGCTGAGAAGCCTGATGGATTGTGATGAAGAAATATCAAAACTAGAGGCAGAAGCCTTTAAACAAGCAGGAGCAGGTGGAATAACTGTGGTTTCTAACATAAACAATCTCATCTCTCTTGTTATGCATTCCAAAACAGTGATCTTCAGTACGAAAGAAAATGAGAATGCTGAGGAAACATTCAACTTACAGTTTCAACACTCAAACAAGCATTTAGATCATTCATCTTCTTCTAAATCATTGATTCCAATTCCAGACGATTTTCGCTGCCCCATTTCACTAGATTTCATGAGAGACCCTGTAATTGTATCGTCCGGACATACTTACGATCGCTATTCAATAGCCCAATGGATTGACTCAGGGCATCATGTATGTCCCAAGAGTAATCAGAGGCTAATTCATATGGCCCTCATACCAAATTATGCACTCAAGAGTTTGATGCAACAGTGGTGCCAAGAAAACAACATTAGTATGAATGAACCTAAAAAACCATATTCTTCTTCCTACGAGTTGGAGAGAAGCAACAGAAAAAGTTACCCTTCTGATGAACCGATCGATCACATTTCTGCATCCAAAGCAGCTTCCGACACTGTCAAAATGACAGCCGAGTTTCTGGTGGGAAAACTTGCAACAGGGTCACCAGATATTCAAAGACAAGCTGCATATGAACTCCGGTTACTAGCGAAAAGTGGAATGGATAACCGAAGGATGATTGCCGAAGCAGGAGCAATACCGTTTCTGGTGACGCTGTTGAAATCCGGTGATCCAAGGATCGAAGAAAATGCAGTGACTGCATTGTTCAACCTTGCAATCTTCAACAACAACAAGATCCTGATAGTGGCAGCAGGGGCGATAGACAACATAACACACATCTTAGAATCAGGGAAAACGATGGAAGCAAGAGAAAATGCTGCAGCAACATTATTTAGCCTAACCATGGTAGACGAGTTCAAAATAACAATAGGGGCGAGTCCGAAAGCCATACCAGCATTGGTGAGGCTCCTGAAGGACGGCAATCCAGTCGGGAAGCGAGATGCCACCACTGCACTTTGCAATCTAGCACTTTACAGTGCCAACAAAGCTTGTATCGTAGTTTCTGGGGCAGTCCCATTGCTGATTGACTTGCTAACAGATGACAAGGCAGGCATAACAGATGAAGCCTTGCAGGCGCTCTCCCTGGTTATGGGTTGCTCAGAAGGGCTGCAGGAGATAAGAAACAGTAGAGTTTTAGTGCCTTCGCTCATTGATCTTTTAAGATTTGGATCTCCAAAAGGGAAAGAGAGTTCAATTACACTGTTATTGGGGCTGTGCAAGGATGGAGGAGAGGAAGTTGGAAGGCGCTTGTTGCTAAATCCTCGAAGTATCCCTTCTCTACAAAGCTTGGCCGCAGATGGGTCATTGAAGGCCAAAAGAAAAGCGGATGCATTGCTTAGACTGCTAAACAGATGCTGCTTTCAATCTCTCAGCCATGTTGAAATGCAGAATGTATAGATAATCTTGCAGAAGTATATATATGTGCAAACTCGTGGAAATGGTGAATTTTTCAATTGAACTTAAATTTATATAGTTAATAGTTTGCGATCACAGTTTTGTTTAACGGTTCAACAATAAAGAATTCCATTGGCTCGGCATCCACTTCATACATTCGATTTACAGGATTAATGCAAAAAATTGCAGGATTTTTTAATATTTTTTTCTTTATTTTTTTGTGTGTTGAGGGGTGAGGGGTGGGTAGATGAGAGTGGTTAAGTTCTGTTTAACCAAACTGATCTGTTCCGCTACATTATTATGAAGAAGACCATCTGTGAACCATCATTCACAAAGGGCATGGTGTTGAGTTATTTCGTAGGCAACCTACTGCTCCACATACTCCAGCTTGATATGAGAACCTTCTATTTTGTAGTTCCAGCACCAACTTCCAGTATCCTGCTTATCAAGCTCGATTGGATATAATCGAGCTTCAAAACCTGAGAATTTGGAAGATAAAAAGATGAGGGAGATATTGCATATTCTCAACTTTTGGAACTGTTCAACTCTAATGTGAAACAGAAAAAATACAGTTTCCCCCAAAATAGAAAAGATGTAGAATCTACCTGAAGTTCCTGGTGCAATTATCAATTTGTAGCCATCTGGGACTTCAAATACATGATTACCCTGCAGAGCACGAACAATTATATTTTCAATGGTCAGATAATTACGTTTGACACTCAATAAAGCAGATAGCTGGATTGTAATAATCCTTCAATCAGTAGATAGCTATCGGTAAATCTTGTATGTGTATGGGTTTTGTGAGATCCCACGTTGGTTGGGGAGGAGAATGAAACATTGTTTATAAAGGTGTGGAAACTTCTCCCTAGTAGACGCGTTTTAAAAACCTTGAGGGAAAGTCCGAAAGGGAAGGCCCAAAGAGGACAATCTCTACTAGTGGTAGGCTTGAGCTATTACAAATGACATCAGAGCCAAACACCGACCGATATACCAGTGAGGAGGTTGAACTCCGAAGGGGGTGGAACGAGGTGGTGTGCAAGCAAGGACACTGGATCCCAAAGGGGGTGGATCGGGAGGTCTACATTGATTGGAGAAGAGAACGAGGGCTAGCGAGGACGCAGGCCCCGAAGGGGGGTGTATTAAGAGATCCCACATCGGTTGGAGAGGAGAACGCAACATTGTTTATAAGGGTGTGGAAACCTCTGCCTAGCAAACGCGTTTTAAAAACCTTGAGGGAAAGTCCGGAAAGGAAAGTCCAAAGAGGACAATATTTGCTAGCGGTGGGCTTGGGCTATTACAAGTTTGTAATTTGGGCTATTACAAGTCTGTAATTAGGTCTTAATCAACGCCAGTTCCTCCAATAAGTAAATGTGTCAGTCCGCACGGTTTATGGAAGCTGAATACTGTATTCATATATGAACAAACCTGTAAAACAACATCCGTTGCCTCAAATTCAGCATTTCCATGCAAAATGATCTTGCATCCTTCATGCCGCTGTACCTCAAGCTTCCAGTAAATATTGTCTTCAGCATTCCAGTCAATTCCCTTATTCAGCACCTTGACATTCTCCAATTTACATCTTCCACACCTAACCAGATGAACTTGCTCAGAAGCAAAACAATAATTCTCAAACAAAAAAAATTATAACGCAAAAATTATAAAGACCTTTGTCCATAGCGGATTAATGATTCACCATTTTCATCGATCTTCAATGAGCCCATAACATTTTCAGACAATACAATCAAACTCCCATCAAGCTGGAATCGGAAGAACTAGATCAGCTTCATTAATTCACTTCACTAGTGTATGTCCTTGGTGTGCAAGAATATGTGAGACTTGTGTAAAGGCAATCTATTCCCAGCTAGAATCGGGCATCATACCTGAACATTCCTCCACAAGAACTCTGCAACCTCAACTTGCAACTCTGAGCCCTTTGATATCGAACCACCAGAGAACTGAGATATGATATATCCAAATAGGGTTACAATCTACCAGTGAATATACAGCTGAAAAACTATATCTACTCAAACCATGTTAGATCATTTACATATCTCAAAAGTGTTGTTTACTTCAGAAACACAAAACTACACTTAGAACTGCAGTCAAACCTCAAAATTACAGAGGGGAGGGAATGCGTAGCCAATACTATTTCAGAGAGAGGGAGAGGCAGAGGCACAGAGAATTGGGGCACATTCCAAAAAAGTGATGGTTTCAATAATCAGATACTGAAACTCTTACCTTCTGTCTAGCAACCTCCCAAAGCGGGCCCAGTGCTGGATGTAGAAGTATGAGATATGGTGGTCCAGAATCAACATACATGTCATTACTTTCAACCTGTCATAGGAAGGATTAGTTAAGCATGAACGGAAATAG